TCGAAAATTTATCGAACAGAACACGAATTAAGATGTGTTTGTTCGTGTTCGGTTTGTTTTGACTCGAAATACTACTCATCAAGTTTATATATATATATATAAAAAGTTGTATTTTAAAAAATCTAATTTACTACAAGGCTACAAATATTTATAATCAATTAAAATATTGATTAAGAAAATAAAATAAAAATTATTAAATTAGATTCAAATGATGTTTTAATATAAATAATAATTTTTAAATCTTGCTCAAACCCTTATTGTCTTATAGCTACATGATTAGGGTTGTTAAAAAGACTCTTTGTTCGTGAACAACTCGAGTTCAGGTCGTTAAGCAAACGAGCCGAACACGAACACACTTTTTGAGCTCAAAATATAAACGAGCCGAACACGAGCATAGCATGACTCGCTCATGTTAGGCTCGTTTACACCCCTAACCACCAATTCCTAGACATTCACATATCTCACACCTATACCTTATTTTTTATATTTATACCAACCAGCTTTTTTTATAACATATCAAAAATATCATCTCATAAAAGGTGAAATATATTCCGAGCATGAGTTTAGGTGGTACAGATGTAATTACATAGGAATTAAGTGGCATGTAAATCTTCCCAAATTTTAATAAGAGATGCTCCTATTTTTTTTATGTTGATGTGTGTTTGGCCTTTTTTGAATTTCATGCCTTCATTATTTTTATAAAAAGAAGTTGAAAGACTCCATTTTCTTCATTATCTTCCTGCAAACAGAGGGAGTTGCTTTTACTCAAACCTTTGTAGAGCTGCCAACTGTTGTAGAACCTCCACCTTTTATAAAGCCTACACCTTCGGAACAGGTGTTAGATGAATTCAAAAGGATGAGGGTCATGTCTATTCCTACACATATTGAGTTGTAGAACATCATTGCTGAGAGAAACTACCCCAGACATACATACATTGACTTCAAGTAATCTAAGGAAAAGTATAGATATCAAGATTTTAAAGAGAGTCAATAAATTGTTTATATAACTAAATAGTTTAAAGTTGGATGCCTTATCTTATAAGGCCAACTTTACACATTCATTTGGTGAGCTATTTCTGATGTGAGTGATAAGTATCTAACTTTTCAGAGATATATGGAGTTTGCCAAATCAGGTCAATTTATGGATGACAACAAAATCATAATGATGCAATTAATTGAAAGATGTTGAAATTCGATTAAAGCCAACAGTGATACTTGCCTTCAATTTTTCTTTTTTCTTTATAAGTAGAGAAAATTGTTCTATATAATTAGGCCGAGTTTTTCCTTTTACTTGCTTTTGTATTTTGTTGAAGAAATTTATCTTAACAATTTAATGAAATGCCTGCTTTTTGCATTTCACACCCTATGATGTGATTGATTTTGAATGATTAAAATTTGCCTTATTAATATTGCTCTATAATCAAACATATGAATTATGGATGCTAGTATGTTTGCTATCTTACTCTCACTATTTACATCCTTCTCTTATGAATGCTTTTAAATAGAGTACTTAGGGTTGAATTTCAAAATTTAATCCTTCAAGAACCCCAGCACTCCAAAGTTCTCTACTTTATTTTTTTTTCTTTCATTTGACTCGTCTTCCTCTCTTTTTTAACTTCTAATCAGTATGGGTTCTTCAATCTACAAAAATTTTTCATAAATTTATTCTTTGATTAGACAAAGATGACAACCACTTCGTCCAAAATTTTGGCCCAACTAAAGTTTGAGTTAACAACACAATCAAACTTAAGATAAGAAAGAAAGGCGAAGTGTCATGAGCTATGTTTTTTCATAACTAGTTTCAACTTTGTTTGTGATATCCTCTATGCAATGAATTGTTAGAAATCTTCAAATTTATGTCATAATCCTATAAAAGGTGATGTCAATTTCTATTGCTAGTATTATGGCCATAGTAATCTATATGAGAATAAATAAGATGGCAAGAACAATTGCTTTACTTTGCTACTTATTTACTATTAAAATATATATGTTTGGAATTGTTCTCTTTTCTTATACTAGGATTAAGTATCCGAACTTAAAAATAAAATAAAAAATTGGAAGAATATGTCTTCTTGTGGAAAGTAGCTGATTGCATAGGCCACAATATTTTCTTGTAGATAGAGTTCTAAAATTATTTTTGAAAGCCAATGAGGAGAATAATTTTTCTATCTTGAAATTTTAAGAGCTTTAGGTCCATAAATTAGTAGGCTATTACTTCATTAGAAGAATGATTGACCAAGTGTTAATTTTCTTACTACAATTAAATTATGATTCAAACTTAGCCCTATATTGAGTTCCCCAAGTCTACATAATTTTTCTAATCTTTTTCTATCTTTAAAGCTAATATTTATAGGGATCCTTCTCTAGCAAAAGAATTTGCCAAATTGTTAGTGAGTTAAGTAGGTGACAAAGTGCAAGAAGAAAATGAGAAAAATACTCCTAAAAAATCAAATGATAGGTCCTCAGAGGTAAAAATAAAAATCAATTTAAATTATCTTATTATATTCATTTCTTATGATTTCAACTATTAATCATTAGAAAGAGCCAGAAAATAAAAGCTTAGGTGAATCCACTTCTCATTCATTTCTGAGACCTTCTTCTTTGGGGACAAAATTTTTCCCAAGAACTTCTATTAAATGAGCCAACGTAAAGGAAAGTTACCCACCAAGCACCACGTGTTGATGTATTGTTTCATTATTAAAATTGCTCCTTTATTGTCGTCAAAATTCGTGAATGTATCAAACCTGTCATCAAATAGAAGAAATTAAATACACCTCATAAGGTTTCTTCTTTATTAAATTCTTATTATAAATGCCAAA